GTTCTTCAAATTGGTTCGCCTTACCATGCAAACTGCGTGAACGGTGTCGTGGAACGAAAGCGATATCTCAATCGAACTAATTCAAATGACCACTTTTGAACACGCTTTTTGATGACCTCGTCCATATAAGTTCGGTCTGCTTAGTCTCTATTCTCCATGATATTTTCTTAATTGAAATTTCGAAATATTGCACGCTTTTTCTCTATTTTGCAGACATTTACTGCCACTTACCGCTATTAATGAATATACCACTGTTATTCATTCGGTTCAACTTCAACGAGTTAATTGCGGTAAAATGTATTTTGCGCTATAAGTGCATCATCTCATGTAAAATTTTTAGCCTATAGTAACGAATTGCTGGCACATCGTTCTGTATATGAAAAGGCACCTTGAGAACTTCTTAAATATTCATATAGTATTTCTTCTACATCACAGATATACCTTATGAATTCAAGAAGAAATGCTTAGAATAGGGTCATAAAATATCCAGTAAGGCCCAGTTTCATAACTCACGGTGAACTCTTAACCGAGATTCAACTTATTTTTCATCTCTTTTAATTCTAGAATTGGAAAGAGATAATGAATAAATTGAACTTCGGTTAATTAAGAATTAACTGTGAGTTGTGTCTAAATCTCAAAATTTGTTCGCATTCCATGCTCTATATACATGAATCATGTTATTCGCTTTCGCAGCCAGCTGCTAGGCCACTATTTGGTCATAAACTAGTTCCAAAAATGCAGGAACAAAAATAAGGAAATAAACACGAAAAAGTTCGGCAGCTTGACAAAAATTAAAGATAGTGCAACACCCAAGCCGAGAAACGAAACACGAACCGGAAATGTCTGTTCCGGTACACGCTCGATAAAGAACTTTATGTCTGATCAACGTTTATAACCTATCGATCGTTCATGCGTATACTTGCAATTGCTCATGCATTCACAGAGTATTCAAAGTATTAAGTCGCGAAATATTTATTGTAATGAATTTCTGAGGAATACTTCAAGATGAACTAATTGTGGTCAATTCTTCAAGAATTCTTCAGATATTAATTTTTCTAATTTTATGTTTTCTTTAAATTAAATTTTCTATGAACTCCAATTCATACCCCGTATTATCTGGGACACCTTATATTTTTACGTATTCTTATGGCACCTATCATGAAACAAAGTCAGAATGGATTCCAATCGGAATTATTCCGTTTTCCCCAGAAAATACAATAGAAATCTAAGGAATAATTGAATAATTCCGATTGGAATCCATTCCGATTTTGTTCCATAATAGGTGCCTTGTAGCGGGATTCTTTAAATGTCTTATTGATGATTGTCGCTATCGTTAACTAGCGACAACCAAAGGCAAGACAATCCTATTTTCTGGGGAAAACGGAATAATTCCGATCGAAATCAATTCCGACTTTGTTCCATGATAAGTGCCCAGGTCTTTAGCTATAACAGCGCCACTACCAACAAAAAAAAATTAGAATCCGTATGTGGAACGAAAACTATAAGGATTTTACTCCTTTTTATTATTTCGTGCTCCCGATTAAGGTGGAAGTAAATAAAATTACAATATAATAAGACGAAAAAGGTTATATTGAAAGAAAATTTACAAAATTGTAATATTTGTTTAAACAATACTAACGGGACATTTGCTTAGAGTAATTAAATATTTATTTTAAAAAATAATATTTAAATCAAAGTACTAATTACTTTTTGAATAAATTTTTATTTGCAAATGTCTCATTGGTACCATTTTTAAACAAATATTTATTAAAATTTCATAAATTTTTATTTTCAGTGTATAAAAAATGAATTACTTATGGTCAATTATGAATTACGTGCTCAAGTAGAGAAGGCATTAACGCTTACAATAATCAAAGTAAACGACTTCACTTATTTAATATGAGCACTGACAAACCAAATTGAACACTAAAAAACAGTTTATAAGCATGAGCGTTTGGGAATGCTCCGATTGCACACATTGCATGTTGCACACGTGCGTCGCTAATTGGCCAATTTAAAAATAAAATATTCTCATTGATAAAGCAGTGAAAATTACTAGGCACCAGCTGATATGAGTGGTGTGTGCAGTTGGGATTGTAGGCAAACGGGATCTTCCCGAGCGTTTAAGCGTGTGAGGCGTTCTTATGAACGAATATTTATACCAGAACGGAACAGCGAGACCAATCACAATCGCAGAAAAAAAAGCAGGGTAATGATTGCAGAGTTGTAATTGATCGCGCTGTTCCGTTTCGCTTTAAATTTTCGCTTCATGGGACGCTAGCCTGAGTATGCAAACCAAATGCAGCCCTAGATTTATCAAAGAAGCGCGATTGGTGTTAAGTGCTCTGATTGATCATTGCAATCACGTGACTTAGTCAATCACTGAACTGATTCCTGTATATCAAAAATGGCTGCTTAATAGATGATTGATGGATTCCATCTGTCTTGCAAATAATGCCATTTTTAATACTTTTTCTAATACTTTTTAGTACTTTTGTGATACTGATACAAGTCGGTCGCACTTCTCTGATAAATCTAAGACTTTACCCTAGTCCTTCTACTTCGTCCGTATTACAGAGTAAAAAGAAGATGTGGCCGGTCCCAAAAAAAATGGACTCAAACCACAGTACCGGAAAAGCGTTGTATGGAAGAACAAATTCGAGCGCACCTGTCGGAGAAAACTGTTAATTTAAAAAATTTGACAAATATTTTTCCTCCCATTTTCATGTAATTCTGTAAATTTGTGTATTTCCATGCGTAGAATATAGTCTGAGAAGAAAAGTTGTCGTTCAAGTCCCGTTTTTATTCTTTTTAATTTCAAAGTTTTTTGATGTCAGTAAATTAAAAAACGATAATTTAATGATAATTTATGACTATGCATAAATGTATGTATTATATATATAATTAATTTGACTCATAGTTTCAACTACAGATTTATATTCTGGTTAAACATTCTCGCATTTGAGAATGTGCTGGTACATTTTTATTGAATGACTCAACATGTTTAAACAATTTTATCATCATTATGGACTAATTACGACCGATATAATGGAAGAATGTAACTGAGAATATTACAAAACTAAAGCAATTGCATAATTACGACAAAAAATAAGATATAAAGGGATACTACCAACACTTTGTGTACTACGTATAATCTGTAGAAATTGAATATTTAACCGTTTAATTAATTTTGTTAAATTTTGCGTTCTCTACATGCATACTGAGGATAATCTAATAATAATGTCGAAATATATGTTTTAAATATATAAAAATCTGGCTTGTAGCCCCTTTTTGTTATTTATTTTTATAAATGTATGTATTTTTCAATAAATATTAATTATTATTTAATCAAATAAAATTAAATTTTATACAAATTGAAATTTCTATATTAAAAAAAAACGTGCATACATATATATTCCGAACGCGTTATCATGTGGTACATACTTCCAACTTTTCCCGTAACGGCACTAAAATCGTATCCCGATTTTCCATGGGTTTTCGTGTTTCAAGTCCCTTTTTATTCTCGAGTTTGGTCTCCTTTTTACTCCGTATGTATAACAGATGTCTATTACAGGACATGTTTAATCGGATTTAATTAGAGACCCTCAAGTAAAGCTGCTTTCATATTCAACGTAACTTGCGTCAACCAACCAAATCAAATCAAATTATATCAGCTACTACACATTATTCTACTTGATACGATTTGATTGACTGATGCAAGTTACGCTGCATGTAAAAGCAGCCTAAGCGTACCTACCTACACCTGCAGGAATAGCATAATGCGGAACGATAGCGGAATCAATCACAGGCGTTCTCTCCAGTTGTAGTTGTTGTGGAACGCTTGTATTGATTCTGCTCTCGCGCGGCGTTCCGCGTTACTCTATTTCGCTGCATGGCCATCCTAAGGGTACCGTCCCATAAAGCGGATATTGACAACGGAACGGAATTCGCGGAATCAACATGACAAATCACTACGTTTTTTTTCTTACGTTTTTCTTAAATTCTTTACGTCTTATTGAGCAGAATAAATGGAAGTGGAATACGCGGAATAATATATGAAATCATATTTTTTATATTATTTACAATATTTGTAATAATAAAAATAGTATTTTAATGTAAATTTAATAATGTATATAATTATTAATAACTGGTAAACATTAGAACTTCTTTAGCAGTAAAATATTTTTAATATAATCGTAAAACTGTCTCATGATTAACTGAAACTTGATTCCGTTTCTGCGTTTACCGTTCAATGAGACATAAGAGAAAGAAAATAAATAGAATCGTAGACTGCTGATTAATACGTTCTACATTCATATTTTCTGTAATCATCGAATCATTAACATTCTGTTACTGTGTTTATGTTAATGAAGAAGACGAAAAACAGTATGTAATTAATTGCATTATGTAAACAATGATTGCAATATACACCAACAGCATATAATATTAAGGTTATGTGCAACTTTTGTTCATTCCGCAAATTGTAACGATGAAATTATGGCGAAAATAACGGACACGACTGTATAATAACGCCCACAGTTATGAAATTGATCAATCATAACTGTTCTTCGGAAGAATAAAATAATTGTGATTGATCAGTTTAATAACAACGAATATTATTAAATCTGATTAAGAGTGCCGTGTAAATAACTGTGTTCAACTCAATTGTTGAGTTCGCTGAATGCAGCCAATGGGTGCATCCAATACTATGACTGCTTAATAAGCTCTTGTATCTAATATATATTTTTAGATCTAACGGAATGTGCCAATCAAATGCAAGAACTCACTGAACACTCAATGAGCGGTTTTATGCTGGCTGCAGGTCTACGGACTTATTACGGTTCTTGAAACAAAGTGAAAATTACGAAAGTGATCGAATTTACTAGAATATTTATAACTTCATTGATTGAAACCTAGTGAGTTTGTTCATTTTTGTAATTTTCACTTCGTCTAAAGAACCGTAATAAGCCCTCAAAACGATGTTCGTCGCATGCGATACGCGATATCCAATGAGTACAGCTTCACCGATATTCTTATCCTAAAGCTGCTCATTGGACATCGCGCTAGTCTGCAGCCGGTATTACAGCATATTTAACAAAATTGAAGGAAATAAATTAATTTCTGAAATAAATTAATTTAATTTAATTTAATTTAAATGAATGTTAGTTCAACATCTTAACACTCAGAACTGTAAGAGCGCTTCGTATTTAACGTTTGAAAATTGAAGGACTCTCATTATACAAAATAAATAACAATAAATAAAGGGCAAAGTAAGAGTCGATACAATTCTTTAAAATTCCACAAAGAATATATTACAATTAACACGAGGTAAAATTACATAAAGCAAAATTAAAATTAAAAATAAAAAGTTATAAGTTTCGGCTACCGGATTGAGCCCTCTTCAGACATTAACATATCAAAAAACCCGCAATACAATAATAGTTAACGGAAATGTTCGCATAATCACAGTTCGGGTGAGTCTTGATGTAGAACTCGACATTATTCGTATACGATTGAACAGTCAAATGTATTTATATCTCTTGAAAAAGTTCAAAAAACAAGTGTAAATTATTCAAACCAGCGTGTCCATACAAGTATGACAAACCATCAGAATATGCAGAGTTAAGTAGAATGCAAATGTGTAAGACGGACATTGTATATCGATTGTTATGTGCGCTCGCTAATACGGATTACTAAGGATGGCAAAGTTAGAAAACTAAACTTATAATCTATGATTGAAGGAGCTATTTTACAACTCGGCCATTCTGAAAAGGTCCTCGAACTTAAACTAAAAATACAAAAATATAATTTTCGCTGGAGTACAAAAAAAATTAAAAACGTAGAATTAGTATACAATAACTTCTTAACTAATTTTTTAATACGCAGTTAAGGAATAACAGGTTTGATCCAGCGTTTAAGCCGGTCTGACGACAAAATAGAATTATACAATAGGATTTCTGTGACTTATTAAATCCTGGAACATCCTGTATAACATATCTATTTTTATTCAATATCTTAGTAACCGTATACAACGGTTTATAAGCCGATTTAACTTTGGATTTTCGCCGGGTTTTCGTAAAGTATCTCTGATAAGTACATAGTCACCTACTTTATACTTAGTCGGTACTTTATGTCTTTTGTCATAGTATGTTTTGTTATATTGTTTTAACTCTTCGGAGGCTTGTTTAGCTATTTCACGAGAATGCTCGCGTTGTCCCAATCGCTCCTGAGTCGAAAGAGTGGAATCCGCTAATTTACTCAAGAACTGAAGTAATGGTAAATCTATTTGATTACGTTTTTCGTACCCAAAGGCCAATTTTGATGGAGAGCACTTTATTGCAGAATGATAAGTTTTGTTG